AAGGAAGCTTACAGGTGAAGCCTGCAGTGCATTTCTTTGTTTTTTTTAATTGATAAAACTGTGGTTTTGACCTGGAACTTGAACCAAGGTACAGAGAAAAGGCACCAATAAATGCTGAAGTTGGATGTCTTGCAGGTCATACAGCTTCACAACATTCAGTTATGATGCTTTTACATACGGTTTATTTGTAAGTGTTGCTTTGGGAAATAATAAAATGTGAACGCTTGTTGGAGCCATTTCCTACTGAAGGTAAAAAGTGAAGCGATTTAAGTCTTATTGCTTGTGACTGATTACAGGGCGTTTTAAATGATGATGGAAATTCAGTCAGAGACTGTGTGATAATGGAAGGGACTGTTGTGTTCATGAGAAGTTGTCTGTTAAGCTTTCATTTGTGACCAGATGCAGACTGGCATTAGTTGGATAAAGCTGTGAAACAAGCGCAGACACTGAATAAATGCTGGCTGACGGGTTTGACTGACACGCCTACTGCATGACAGGGATTTGAGAAGTTAGCATTATAAGTACAAGTGAATAACTAAGAATGGCATGCCATAGCTGTTTTCGTGACAGCTTTAACACATTCATAATTTTGATTAAAAAAGGGAGATTAGCTATAAAAAAAAAACCCTGCCTACCTCAATCTTTTTGTTGTCTCTCAAACCTCCAGCTTCCTCTTTATGTTGAGCTGTTGTCCTTGGGCACATCTTTCAGTCTGAAAGTCATCTTTCAGATTTGGCAAATCAGTAAATATTTTTTAATGGTCACAGATATTTACACTAACTATTGAAATGCCTTATATTTAACGCACACAACTGTGACATTTCTTCTCAGCCTCTTAATGTCGAAAAATGTCGTAGCCACTTCAGCCAAAGTGGGCAAGTAGATGGTATATTGTAACAAAATAACGTTGTGTAAACACAGAAATATACTCACACACATATACAAATGCAACTACAGCTACCAGCAAGGAAACAAATGAAGAAGTCCAGACTCATCTTCAATGCTGAAAAGATTTTTTTTTAACTTTTGAAGTATAGCAAAGTCACATATTTTCTTCCATAATTGCTAATATTACACTGACCAACACATTATAAAATTCAAATGACATGGAGCTTTGTTTTTGCAAAAGTTGAGTGATCCTCAGTGGACATACCAGAGCACGTAGTTGTTGCTGTGGGTGCAGCTTTATGGTTGCTCTACAGCCACTGGGGTAAGAATTATTTGCAATCGCAAAAGCACAACATCAGAGAATTCTCTTTTAATTAGTTAAGGGACTGATGTACCATATGTATGTGTGTGTCTCTGAGTCTGAGAGTGAGAGAGAGGAACTTAACTGTATTTTAGGGCACAGAAAAAAAAAAGGGGGGGGGGGTCATTGGTGTAAATTTTGGAACTGCAGTTTGGAATTTGTGTAATTAAATAATCTCCATAAAATTTAGACCACTGCAATCTTGATGTTTAGGGGGAGATAAATATAAGCATTTGTTTTTCAGAATGAAAAACAATCTATTAGCTAAAAGAAAATGAATCAGTAGATTAAATTTGTGACTGAAATCTGCTGCAATGCTGATTTTCATGTATTGTTTATATTTTGTTGTCTGGTTGTTGTTTTTTTGTTGTGATATGAATAACATAGTCACATCTTTTTGGATATTATATTGAACATCACCTCTATGTTTGAGGTATCAAGTGACTCATGAGCCAAAGCAGATAGTTATAGAATCGCACCTTTAGCTTGTTTAGGGGAGCTTATGCCAAAAGGTGTTGAAAGGAAGACTACACTAGATTGAAACTTTAGGAGTAAGGATATGAATTCTCCAAATGTGGGAGTAGAATAGTTTTTTTCCCCCTCTCTCAGCCATATTTGGAAATTCATTCAGGAATACTCCTGGATATGTTTTGTGCAAAAGCTGCATTTTCTAAGGAATTTTCTAAGAAATCCTTCTGATGAAGGTCTTTCTCCTGAAAGCTATTCTCCCTTTCGGCCCATTCAGCGGCAAGAGTATAAACACTGCCGTCTTTTTACTGTCGTACGTTAATCAGGAGCTTTTGAACCTTTTCCAGTTGTGTTCCATTCATGGGCAGAATATCGTGGCACAGCAGATGTCTGGAGATGGTCCAGTTCAGGTATGGGGGTGGGTAGTAAGATCCCTTTTTAATTTTTCTGGACATGGATTTAATACTCCAGAAGTGAATGAATGAGTGATGTGTAATCTATGTCTGACAGTACAAAGTTATTCGTGATAACCTGTGAACAGTCTGCAGCAGGGAATTCATAAACAGCATTTCTTTACATTATAGAGTTTCTGGAGATGCTTCTTTGCAGTATTATATAATGGCTGAAATTAATGTAATGACGTGATGAATGAGAATGCAAGTTTTTAAGATGAGTTTTTTCTCTACAGCTCACTGCCCTGACTGTTAACAGGAGCGTGATGAATTCAATGAAGGGACTTTGGTAGGGCTGTTGCTGAGTCATTATTTTCCAATTAGACTCTTAGTCAGCGCTTTAAGCCAAATACTCATCTTTTAAGGGATGGCAAGCGGGTTTAAAGTGGAAAGGAAAAAGCTGTTTGATGGTTTTTCCAAATGTACAGCAGTATTATACTTCTACCATACATATTCTTTATTTTGGTCACAAGAAGATCGGATTTTTAGTATCTTTGCTTAACAGCTTGTCACCACTGCCTCCCGGCATTAATGTTGCTCTTCATTATGTCAGGTAGTTGGGTGTCAGGTGATTTTGAGACTGGGTTTGTAAAAATGTATGTTCTTCGATAATTTTACATGCTTTTTACCACAGAAACTGTGATGATTTGACCTTAAAAATAGATTTCACTTAGCTGCATCATAGCTGATGATCATTTAAGCGTGTAGGGCTCCAGCAATAAGATAAGACAAGGAAAGGAAATGGTTTGCAAGAGTACTTTATAAAATAAATAAAATGAATGACTTCTGACACCTTATTTCCAGATCACTAATGAGAATGAAGCAATTTGTAAAGAAAATTCATCAAAAGGGATAGAATATTTGAAACACTATATTTCAAAAAGTATTCGCTTGTCTGCCTTCACACACATAGGAATTTAAATGACATTCCATTCTTAATCTACAGGGTTTAATATGATGATGACCCACCCTTTGCAACTATAACGGCTTCAACTCTTCTGGGGAGGTTTTCCACAAGGTGTAGGATTTTGTTTATGGGAATTTTTGCCCATTCTTCCTGAAACACATTTATGGTTTGGTGTTTTGTGGGGTTGAGGTCAGTACTCTGTGCAGGCCAGTCAATTTCTTCCACACCAAACTTGCTCATTGATGTCTTTATTGACCTTGCTTTGTGCTCTGGTGTGCAGTCATATTGGAACGAGAAGAGCCCATCCCCAAACTCTTCTCACAAAGTTGGAGACATGAAATTGTCGAAAATATCGTGGTATGCTGAAATATTAAGAGTTACCTTCACTGGAACTAAGGGGCCGAGCTTAAATCCTGAAGAACGACCCCACACCATAATCCCCCACCACCAAACTTTACACATAAACAATGGAGTCAGACACATATCATTGTCTTGGCACTGCCAAACACAGACTTGTCTATCAGATTGCCAGATGGGAAGTGTGATCTCCATCTGCACTGCTCTAGAGGCCAGTGGTGGGGTGCTTTACGCCACTGCATCCAACGCTTTGCATTGCACTTGGCGATGTAAGGCTTGATTGTAGCTGCTCAGCCATGGAAACTCATTCCATGGCTCTCTACACATTGTTCATATAGTCTTCAGATTATCTCAAGAAGTTTGGAGGTCTTTAGCGATGGACTCGATGTAGAAAGTTGTCGATCTCTTACATGGCCTACCACTCTGTGGCTGAGGTTTTGTTCCCGATTGCTTCCAGTTTATTATAATACCACTAACAATTGACCGTGGAATATTTAGTACCAAGGAAATTTCACAACTGCACTTGTTGCACAGGTGGCTTGCTATCACGTTTCGATGTTGAAATTCACTGAGCTGAGAGCGACCCATTCTTCATATTTCTGACAACATAGTGTATTTCTACTAGAAGTTTTGGTCAAGTTACTTGAAAATAGTAATTAGTTACTGATTACTAATTACTAATTACTTCTCCAAAAAGTAATCCAGTTACTTTACTGATTACTTATTTTCAAAAGTAATTCATTACTTTATTACTTAGTTACTTTTTAAAAACATGATACACAACCTAAATATGTTATGAAACAACAAACCTTTCAGCCCAATTCTATTTTTTCTGCAAAATCCATCATATAAAATTGAATCAAATGAAAAAATCTGTTTTTAAATCTTGTTTTATTATTTTTACAGGAAAGTAACAGTAATTCTTTTTTTTTTTTTTTTTTTTTTGCAATAGTAATCGGATTACAGATCGGATTTTCTGCCAATCTTTGTCTACTAGTAGGAAGTATTTTGATACTGATGGTTTATGCAGTCTGTTGCTAGCGTAGTGCTATTCATTGCTCTTAACTCATTGCCCTTTTCCGAAGATACCCACAGTAGCCTGTAATGTCCTGGTGTTCTGGTATGTTTGGACTGTGCATGTCAGACTAAAGCTAATTTTTGTGTGTCTGCAAATGGAACTGCAGGTTGTGTGTATCTTTAAGAAGTAGAAAACAGGGAGGCAGACATGGCTGCTAGTCTTTGTGGCTGCAGATGTGGCATCAACAGGCACACACACCCTGATGGGGCCTTCGTTTTTTTTTTTACTGTCTTTTCATCTCTTTCACTCCTGTGCAGGCTCAGCAATTTTCTCACCTATACTTCTCCCCTTTCCTTTCCATCTGTCCCTAAGATGTAGTGATGATGGTGTGTGTGTGTGTGTGTGTTTGTGTTAACGGAGGTGCCACCTGCCACTGCACACCCAAAGTACTGGCAGCCTAATCTAATCTCCCTCCTCCCTCTCTCCCTTCCTCCCTCTTTTTCTCCCCCCACTACTGTTCTTTCCCCTTATCCTCCCTCATCCTTTCAGGTCTCGGATGTTATCCTTTCTTGTGAGCCTCGAACAACATTTCATCTAGCCAGGTGAGCTTCTCAATCTCTCCCCCTTTCTCTTTGTGTTGTCATCTCAGCCTCTGTCTCTTCCTCTCTGTCTCCACCGCATATGCTTTTGGGTGCTGCTGCAAAGATGCTGCGTCACTGTGCCTGTTTCATATGGACACAATTGCTGTTTCAGACCAGTAACAGAAAAAAACAAATGTTTTTCTCTTGTTTCACTTCTTTCTCCTTTTGAGCCACCTTGTCATGCTGGGGAATTGTTTGTGTATGTGTACCTGAATTTGTGAAGGTATTGTTTTTATGATGAATCCAGCAGTCTGTGAAAGTATAACAACATGCATTGTGTATCTGTCATTTGTTCAGTATGTCTGAGAGCATGTGCCTGAAACAACTGTGTGATTAGTGCTTTGTGTGTGTGTGTGTGTGTGTGTGTGTGTGGACATGTCTAGACGGTCCCAGACAGGCAGTATGACTTTCACGTGGTTAATGTGCAGATTGGAAACGTGCATTATCCCAACTAATGAAGACACTGCAGATTCACTCTGATTGTCAAAAATTACTTCTGCTTTCAAGTGTTGTCAACTGTTATCCAATTGGATGCCACTAATTGAAAAGTTGGAAGAAAAATAAATGATGAAATCACTAACCTCAGCTTTTA